TTACTTTGGGAGAGGTTATACTTATTACAAAATTATGTAATGTAGTTTGAGATGGTTTGAATCTTTGATCATTCTGCCTCAAATTTCCCAGTTGCTGGGATTTCAGATGTATGCCACCATGCCTGGCTGAGTTACTAGACTTTCTTTGTGCCGAAATACTCTAAGTTAATGTTTTTCTTCACTATTTTCTAAGTTTTGTAACTGTCAAATATATAAAATGATGAACATGATAACATTCTTTATTGTATATATTAAAAATTAAAAGATGTTTATAAAGCTACAAACACAACACAGAGATAGAGTGTTTGTCTAGCATATGCATAAAAAGTATATATACATGTATATATATAATTATAAACTTTTAAAAATGACTACATATATAAAAGATGTTCAGTCTTGATATAGAAATTCTCTGCATAAAAAAATTTTAGGTTAACAGTAGGTCACATATGCAACAGAATATGCCATATAGCTAGTTGTTCATAAGGTTACTCAAGGCAGGTAGGTATAAGCATAGTCTATGATATCTATACGGCAGCAAAATCTAATAACATACTTTTAAAATTATAATCCTGTTATTGGGTGATAAACAATTCTAATTAACATGTGATAAACAATTTTTATTATTTCTATTACTATGTTTCTTTTAAAACCTACAATTATCCTTAATATCTCTCAGTTATCCTTACAGACTTCTGATATTTGTTATTATTTTGAAATTTTTTTCTAGCCTCAAAATGGATCCTTGTTTGGCATTTTGACTAAGATCAAGTATAGTATCTAATCTCAAATTTTATTTCAAAAAATTAAAATAGCATGATTATTTGTGTTTTTTAATTATTGGATACATGCGGGTGTCACTTTTCATATGGGGATTATTCTATGTGTATACTTAAGGCGATTGGAAAAGTTTTCTCTCCTTTGATTTTTGTTTTAAGTCTCTGATACATCATATTACTCAAACTGAATTTTCATTATTTCTGCTTTGCTTTTCCAGTCTAGCAAGGACTATATATCTAATTGTGCTGATTTCTGTAGCCATATTAATAACTGCTGCCACCATGTTCTCATTTCTCTTTTATTTTACAATTTCTTTGGCTATTCTCATTTGTGACTACTCTCACATAAACTTTAAGGCTTATGTTAAAGCATCAGCTTTCAAACCTCTAAAAATATTCAAATTTTTTGAGGTTCAATTGAATTTGTAACTCATCTAGGAAAAGGCTATGTGCTTCTCTTTCTATTTGTAATGGAGTCCATTTAGGATATATAGCTGAGTTCTAAAATACTACAGATATCTTAATAAGTATCTATATTTATAGAGTTCATAAATCTCCTAGATTTCCCCCCAGGTATTCCACTGTATTTGTTTGTGTATAAAATTTACATTTGTTCATAGTTTTCAAATTCAGTCATTAAGTTACCAATTTACAAAAACTATTAGTTATTCTGATAACACCTTCTACTTAATATTTAATCCTTTTATACAGAGAAAAATTATACATTATACTGATTTTTGTTTAAATGAAAATAGTATATGCATATTATTCTATTGAGGCCGTTCAGTTGAGAACAGATAATTTTTGATTTATCCTAGTAACTGATCAAATTTTATCATCATTTTAGTCTTTGAAATAAAAACAGCTTTACACTTTGTTGCTTGATATTGATGTCTTCTAAGTCTATAGGTGGTGATATGTAAGTCTGAATTTAAACAATTTAATTTTGTATCTACATGTCATTGTCATTTGAATGTGTGAGAAACCCCAAAGTACATTAACTGTGAGCACTATGAACTTAAAATCTTGCTCTCTTTTCTCATTTCTGTTCTTTGTTTGCTGTAGACTTTGTTGTTTTCTGCTTTGTTATCTCTTCTTTGTTGTTGTGAATGTTTTTATCAGAACTTACTTGAAAGACTACATTTTGGTAATTTTAGCTATTGTTATATTCATCTTTTGCTTGAGGGACCAGAAATGAATGTGTACACAAATGGGTCAATTAAGATATATTGTCTCAGGACACTTTGTCATAGAAAGTTATGGATTTTTCCCATGTCAAACTCCTGCAGCTACTAGTTTGGCTTAGACTGAGAACAAATGTTGAGCCTATAAGTGAATGAATACTGTACATGGATCTTTGTTTGGTTGCTGCCTGTTTATAGCCATGTGATTTTACTCATAAAATCAGGTTTATCTATGTTTTTTACTTCTATATCTCCTTACAGACCCCATGATACCCACGGTAAGTCTAGTTTTCCTAGATAAAAGTGTTCCAAAAATGAGACTGTTTCATATATATATATATATATATATATATACATTTTATTCAAATTTATTTGAGATTTGAAATTTTATTCAAATCTCAAGTGGCATGTAATTTTGACAGCATTAAACATATTCATATATATTATTAAACAGATAAAGTGAGACCCCTCACTTTATCTGATGTTAATTAGACCTGTATGTTAGTGGAAAGTATTTTTTAAACTTGATGTTATGAAGAAACATGGATATGTGAAATTTAATTTGACTGGCAGGAGAGGTAGTTTAGTGGTTAAGGGTACTAGCTATTCTCCCAGAACATTTGGGTTCTATTTCCCATTTTCACAGCCACCTGTAACTCCACTTCTAGGAAAACCAGTGCCATCTTTCAGCTTCCAAGAAATACCAACATGTGGTTGATGCACATTCATACAGGCAGCCAAACAACCCATACAGATAAAAAGTAAAACTAGCTGGGCAGTGGTGGCACATGCCTTTAATCCCAGCACTCAGGGGGCAGAGACAGGCAAATCTCCATGAGTTTGGGGCCAGCCTGGTCTACAGAACAAGATCTAAGACAGGCACCAAAACTATACAGAGAAACCCTGTCTCAAAAAAAAAGAAAGAAAAAACAAAAGTAAAACTATACAAATTATAATTCAACACTCTGTGTCTATGTGTTAGCTTATCTCCATTTTGTATACCCTAGAACCTATAGCCCCTCCAAAGATCTCTAGTTCTATATATAACATGACATTATTTTCCTAAAAATGTTGCAAAATAGAGGAAATTTTATTCAAATCTCAAGTGGCATATAATTTTGACAGCATTAAACATATTCATATATATTATTAAACATGTTAAACATATAAAATATACATATCATATAGTCTTTTATCATATCATTGACAACTATAGATTAATAAGTTTGCTCTTGCTGTGATGAAATATCTGAAACTACTAACTTAAAAGAAGGGAATTTTAATCTTGGTTTAAAGTTCCAAAGACTACAGTTCATAGTCTTTTGATCTTATTGTTTGTGACTGTAGTAAAGTCCATCATGGTCATGAGCAATGAGGATCAGGAGGCAGAATAATTCTGGAATCAAATATTTAACCTTCTCACAGGAATCATTTTTGAAGCTTCACCACCTTCAATAAACCCTTAAAACATGGATAGTTGAAGATCAATTCAAATCCAAACTGTACCACAATTCTAACTTTTTCCCCCAGAAAATTAAAGTCTTTACTTGTGAGTTTATGTTTCTATTTCTGTGTTAAATCCACTTCCTCCACTTGGTATATTCCTAACACAATCTTTCTTACCAGGGGAAATGTAACAACAGAAGTAAAAGTGGCCAGTATTGGAGATTGATTGTGCTATAGGAGCTAAGGAAGATTCTTTTATCTATTTGAATCATTTCTTTTTTTTCTGAGATTGTAATATAATAACATAATTTCCCCTTTCCATTCCCTTTCCTCTCCAATCCTCCAACATACATCTCCTTTACCTCCTTGTTCTCTTTCAAATTCATCACCTATTTTTCTACTAGTGGTTATATTTCTATTATATATATATATATATATATATATTATACATAGATAGATAGATGTAGATATAAAAAGATAGATAGATGATAGATAGATAGAAATTAATACAAGCTGCTACTTAGTCTATGTTACTTGTTTGTATATTTTTATATACAAGGCTGACCAGTTGGTAATGAATAACCAATTGCAGTGTTTTCTTGCTATTCTTTAGTTGCCTGTATTTCTTTGTTTAGAATTGAAGCCTTCTTGACTTTCTCTCATTCACTGTATCATGTATATTGTTGTTGTCCCTGTTCAGTTCATGTTTAAGCAGTCCTATTGGTGAGACTGTATGGGTTTAGCTTCTGTCATTCCTAGAAGACAAAAATCTCAAAGAATATTTTCTAGTCTTCTATCTCTTAAAATTCTTTGGCAATGTTTTCTGAGTCTTAACTGTAGAGTTGTGTTGTAGATGTATCCTTTGGGACTGAGCCCCACAATTGTGTACTTTTATTGATTGTGATATTCTCTATGGTTTTTGTTTGTTGCAAAGAGAAGTTTCCTTAATGAGGATTGAGGACTACACCCATGTGTGGGTGTAAGGGTAAATACTTGGGATGTAAGTAAGGATTATACTTGTTTAGTAAAGTGGTGATTGTAGGTTCTACTCCAAGATCCATGGCTTCACTAGCCCTGAGTAGCTGGCTATGCTTCTAACATCAGAAATCCTTTCCCTCATGTTGAATGAGTCTTAAATATGATCAGAGAGCTGTTGTTTACTGCAAAGGTATAGAAACCACTACTGCACCCTTAAGGATATGCTGGCCATTGTTCGGTTTCACAGGTATAATCGATATCATAGTAGGACTCTTGGTACACCCACTCTAGAAGACTGCATTGTGCCTTCAAACTCCTCAGGAAGACTTTCAGTTCACTTCCATCTCAGGGGCCTCTGAAGCCTGTGTTCGAAGTGCATGGTATCTTCAGCAATAGGGATTTATATTCCACATCTTGGGGACAACCAAAGGCAATAGAAATAGTCTGTAATGTTTTGGTAGTCTCTTGTACAATCCCAGCCAACAACTCAAAAGATGGCTTCACATGTTCGGTATTGTGGTTTGTTGTTAGATGATCTAAACTTATGAGAAGTATTATCAGAAAAAAATGGGTAATTTCCATTGAACTATATGTAGAGTTAATAGGTTGCCATAAAAATATGGAATTCTTTGTGAATTTGCAGGTTATCCCTACACAAGGCCAAACTAATCTTTTCTGTATTATTTCAAGTTTAGAATACATGCTGCCAAAGCAAGCATAGCTAATGAAGATACTTTAAATTTTATTTTAATTAATTATTTGCGAAGCCGGTGTATTCCTTCAGTGTATTTTGATCATAGTCATCCCACACTGCTTCTCCAACACTTACCAGCTCCACCTCTACCCACCACCCCTTCTAAGTTCCCTTGCCCCATTTTTTAAAGATAAATAGGCATTTTGTTTAACCAAATGCATCTGGGTATGAGGCCATCACTGGAGAGTAGTCTATGAATTGTTTTTTCAGAGAGTGGTGTCTATATGCAGCCTAGGAGGCATGGCACTCATTATGTAGTCAGACTGCTCTTAAATTGGCAGCCTTTTGCTCCCTGTTCCCTAGTACTGGGATCACAAGCCTGTACTGCCAATCCCAGCTCAACATTATTAATAAAGAAACTGTAATATGCTAGATATAGAAGAAAGAAATTTTAGACATCAGAAGTTTGTGAAGCAGTTGCCTGGGAAAAGGTTCAACTTTATGTTTTAAAGGTAAATATTTATTGAATGGTTGTTTTTGAGAAACTATTCTTATATATTTTCTTATTCTTTTTTTTTTTTTTGATTTTTTGAGACAGGGTTTCTCTGTGTAGCTTTGCGCCTTTCCTGGGACTCACTTGGTAGCCCAGGCTGGCCTCGAACTCACAGAGATCCGCCTGGCTCTGCCTCCCGAGTGTTGGGATTAAAGGCGTGCGCCACCACCGCCTGGCTTCTTATTCTTATCATACAATTTCTTTGCTAATAGAAGTGCTAAGGATATCATTAAACTAGTAGCAAAACTCATAATTAGTGAGATGATCCTTTTCTAGAAGACTAACATTATTTATATAGAGAATAAACAACTCCCTCACTCAGTAATCAAGTACTTATTGAACATCTGCAAATGACTCTGATATAATTTATATACATGAAGAATAAATACACATTGTGTCTGTTGTCAAATATCTTACATGGGATACAACAAAGTATGAACGTAGGTGTGAAATTAATTATCATTTATGATAAATACTATGGAAGAAGAAAGTGAAGGCCTTTAGTTATCTTGGCTGCCACTTGAAGAAAGACATTATTCTCCATAAAGCTCTGTCATGATGAACAAGTTAATAAAATGCAAGGACAACAGGCACAGAGTTCTTGTTAATGATAAATGAAACCTAAGTACAGCTAGAGAATATAACACCAAAAATAATGAAATGTTGCATCATGAAATGGATTTTTAATCTTTTGTTATACCTGGTTAAACTAATTTTTCATTCAAAAATTACATTTTACTTTATAGCGGCATCTTTATAGCATTATTCCTCTGAGTAGTTATCATACTGATGGAATTCAAAGGACTATATCAAACTCCAACTGAACAATAGAATAGTATGTTCTTTATTACATTAAAGAACATACTATAGAAAAATCAAAGAGGACTGTGAATCATCAGAACTTTGGTTGAGGAAAAGCTTCAAAATTCCCAATTGTTTAATGTCATAATGCTTTGTGCCAGAACTGCAAAGGAAACCAATGTGCCACTACCCTTAAACAGCAGGTACAGGGGTACATATCATTTCTTCTCATCATTTCTGTAATGACAGAAACACCTTCTACTTAGGAACCCCTTTATTCTCCAGATGTTTGGCAAGAGTCTGTGAGTTTTCTTTCTGCTTAGTTAAAAAGAAAACCAATAGACTGATTTACAAATTAGTCAGTTTAGCTGATTTTTGATAGAGAAAGAAAAAGAGCATTTGGTCAGTCCTCAGGAGAGTACTTCCCAAATTTGTTCTTTCTACTCTAGTGAGAAAACATCTCATGTAGCAGTTTCCCAGAGCAAATAAATAAAAGATTGAAAGAATTTAGAAGAAAATTTAACTACTGTGAAGATGGGAATGAAATGGCAAGACTTTAGAGATCTAGTGAAATATAATTGTCATTGAAAATACATTCTGGGAATTCATTCATTATCTTCCATTATTAAGTTTAGATGTGATTCAAATTACTAACATGTGATTAGGAATACACAGAATGTATATGAAGCGCATGATATCAGAAACTAACTAGTACACAACAAGAAATATGAGTAAATTTGAGTATAAAATTTTGTAAAATGCGTAAAATTATTAACCAAATCATAAATACACAGTTATATAACATGTGCCTATCTTCTAGAGAGCCTCCTCTGTCTTTGTATGTGTCTGTCTCTTTCTGTTTCTCTCTGTGCCTTTTTGTCATCTGTCTGTCTGTCTTTCTGCCTTTTGTCACTTTCTTTCTCACATGTACATTTTGAGAAAACATTATGCAGATCAAGAATATGTCTTTATTTATTTTAGGACAGCACTGAGTGGGTGGGATTGACAGCCATAGAAACAGCATATCCTGATGTCTTAGTAAAGTTTGAAATGTTTAAACATTTGAGATGTGAGGTCTTCTCAGGATGAAACTGTAATTCACATTGGCAGCTGACAGCTTGTTGGCAGTTCACACTTGCTAAGTGCGCCTGACTCGTCATTCTATTTCCACAGTTCCTTACCTGCCACATTGCCAGTGGCCTTCCTTCACTTTCACAGAGAATGTCTATTTTCAAATCTCATCCTCACGCAGATAGAAAGTGACTGAATGGTGAAAGGCTACATAATCAGTCTCTGTGATGATGCCAGGTCTCTACTCTAGGTATCAAAATATCATGAATGAAAAATATTGAGGGGGAACAAACAAAATCAGAAATTTTTCAAGTTTTGTCTAGCACTGAGTGGACATTGAAAAAAATCAGGTACTTGCTTAAAATATGTAGTTCTCTCATTTTTTCTTAAAAATCTTCTCTTCTACAATAAATACAATAAAGAAAAAATATACAAAGATATATAAAGTTGTAAGTATTCCTGATTCTTATCTGGCTATAATGTTAGACTTCCTATGTATTCTGAGAGCATTTTCACATGACCACAAGGACAGACAAGCTCAAGAGAATCCCCCTATCCTTGAAATGACATTGCTAGCAAAGCTACACATAGTGCCTGTAAGTGTAAGCTAGATTATGAAGACTCATATAACACCAAGCAACAAAAGGCTTAGAGACAAAAGCAAATGTCAGATGTCCTTTGGGTCACAGTACAGAGAAGAGATTTGGTTCCTTCACAACACAAACTGCAAAAGTTCTCAAACTTGGCTGATGCTATAGAAGGCAGCTTGAATAGTTGGAGGATATAAAATGACTACAGGTGCCAAAAAGAATGGTATACCCTGCACTTCAGAAAAGTTGAAAGATGTAGCAAGGATAATGAAAGATCAAATAAGCATTCCAGAGAGTTAATGTGTGAACATACTTTTTCAACATTGGTAAATCCTTAAAACTATTCCTACAAATTACAATGTGCCTGGCAATCATAAAATTAGAAGGAGAGGCTATAAATATTATTTTCATGTCATCAGTACATGTGTTCTTAAGTCTTCTTGATTTGCAGTAGAAACGTCTCAACTGTTGTAAAGATACTGGTTGAAAACTTGTAAGGGTAGTGAACTGCTATTTCTATTATCTTTAAGAAAACGAAAAAAAAGAAAAGTAAAATAAATTACTTGTTTAAGAAGCTATTGTTTTAAAAGTGAGTTTACAGTTTCTAAATCAAAAGTTAATGTCAAAATAGATAACTATGTTTGCATTCAACATGCCAGAGAGTATTCACATTGTAATATGAAGTAATCGCTTCCTATCAGTGATATTTCAAGTATTAAATTTTGTAGCAGGAATCTTAAAAGTTCTTATTAATAAAATCAAACCTGAGGCGAGTTATTGGGGTCCATGCTGGTAGATCAGAGAGACAGAACAAGCCACAACTATCTCACCTCGCCGGATCCTCAGCTGGTCTTGTCTCCTCAGACTGGAGGCCTCTGAGTCCTCATCCGGAATGGGTCTCAGCTGAATTACTGCTCAAAAGCCTGAATGCTTAACCAGCCAAAATCTGAACCAGCCAAATGCCCCTAGTTTCTGGTGCTCACGCCTTATATATCTTTCTGTTTTCTACCACTACTCCCTGGGATTAAAGGCTGGCTTTCTGGGATTAAAGGTGTGTGTCACCATGCTTGGCTATTTCCAATGTGGCCTTGAACTCACAGAGATCCAGAGGGATTTCTATCTCTGGAATGCTAGGATTAAAGGTGTGAGTGCCACCATTTTCTAGCCTTTGTATCTAGTGGCTGTCTGTTCTCTGACCCCAGATAAATTTATTAGAGTACACAATATTTTGGGGAACACAATACCACCACAAAATTTTCTTAAAGATATAAAGAATTTTCATAAAAATAGTAAGACATATTCAGCAATATTCACAGCAGAAATCTTTGGGGTCTGTGATGGTTTTAATGTAATATCTTCTATATTCTTTGGCAACTAAATATGTGTTCCCTGGTTGGTGGCACTGTTTTGTAAAGCTTAGGATCTATAGCTTTGCTGAAGGACATGTGTCACTGGGGGTGATTTTGAAGGTTTCCAAAGCCTCCCTCAACCCCCACTTTACTCTCTGTTTTCTGTTTGCAGTTCAGGATTTGAGCAGTTCCTGCTGCAATACCAGATGCTTGCTGCCAGGCTTCCCTCTAACGATAGTGGTGGATTCTTATCCCACTGAAATGGGAACTTCTCCTTGTCTAAGTTGCTCTGGTCATGGTGTTTTATCATAGCAACAAAAAGTAACCAAAACAGAACTGATATTTTGTCACTGTGGGAAAAAGACATTGTAGTGTTTTATAAACTATATTATTAGCTCAGAGTTCAGTATTTAAAATGAAACATACAATGTCTCTATCAATAAATAATTCATCACTATCAAAAGTCATTTCATTAAAATTGAAACAGAGTATTATCAAAAGAACAATATCAAAAAGTATTTTCATTGTAAAGATTAAAAGCTGAGCTGAGAGAAGAGTTAATTTAGCTTATTTCAACACACAAAAAGAAATTCAAAACAAAAAGCTACACTTGTTTGAAAATAAAAGTCTAAGAATTACTTCAAGCAGGCAATAAAAATTA